CGCTGGACTCTCTCCAGTAGCTCCTCATCTTTCTTGAACTGGGGAGCCCAGCACTGGACACAGCACTGCAGATGGGGCCTCCCCAGGGCAGAGCAGAGGGGGAGGAGAACCTCCCTCACCCTGCTGCCCACACTCCTCCTCATGCACCCCAGGATCCCATTGGCCTTCTTGGCACCCAGGGCACGCTGCTGGCTCATGGTCACCCTGTGGTCCCCCAGGACACCCAGAGAAAAGGCGTTGCAGAGCGGAGCTTGAGCATCGCTGTTCAGAAGCAGCCAGCTTCCAAGCCGTGCTTATTCTTTACTCTCTTTTCAGTATAGTTTCAGGCAAAAGAAAGACCTTTCTGTCCGTCCCGGGCACTAACCACGGACATTTTCAAGGCAATAACATATTTTATTGGGAAAAGAACCAGCACAGCTGAGCTTGGTTAGAAAAAGAGAGATTTTCATCTTTAGCGACCGCCTTCATCAGCGCTTCTCTTAGAAACTCAGGGGTTTGGCGTCGGGGCGGCCGCCGAGGGCACATCCCGATGCGGCAGAGATGCCACCCCGGCCAGAAACCTGCTCACCCCTCCGGCTTCGTCTCCCTGGCTCTCCACGGGCTGGTTCAGCGGAGAGGCCGTTTGGTCTTCGGTCCCAATTCCTATTTCAGATGGGATGGCGTGAAGTCTCCAGCCTCGTAAATCTCTCTGTCCTGGGCTTGGGCTCCAGGTTCTGCTACAACTTCATTGAATTGTGTTGGCTCCTTTCCCTCTGCAAATTAACTTCTCTCCAAAGGAGAGTCAGAAGGTGCTAATGGGCGGGAGCTATTTTTTAAGCTAAATTCTTCAGTAGTACCAGTTTGCCTTCAAGAAGAAACCTTCTAACTGGACTAAATTTTACTAGAAACGTGCCGAAAAGGGGGACATTTGAATAGCATTTGCCCATACTGGGTATGCAGGGTCATAAATATCTGCTGTGTGTGCATAGATTTTCACCCCGAAGCTCGTGCTCATGACAAATGGTTGGGAAACCACACCTGAGAACCATAACTTTGGGCTGAGAAGAGCCCGAAGGGGTGAATCTCAGCGTCCATTTTAGGGATGTTTTAGGACACTGTTGGCACCCCCTTGCCCTGAGCTTGCCCAGTCTCCCCGGCAGCGCCCGGCTCCTGCCCAGCCACTAACCTGTCCTCCCCCCATC